GCGACGAGGCGGACAAGACTGGTCGTGGGAAATGGGTCGATGTCAACGCTGTGCCTCGCACCACCGACGACGACGAAGACGAAGACGCCGAAGAAGAAGAAGACGAAGACGAAGACGCCGAACCCACAAAGACTGAAGCAGAAGACACGGTAAATGGTACCGCACTCGCCAAGCGCACCGAGGCATGGTGGCACACATTCAAGTACAGACCCATTCTCGGTATCGTCCCTATTGCCGCTGATAGCGACGATGGCTCAGCGCCAGAAGTCGTGCTCGTGGAGCGCCCGAGCTGGGATTTGGATCTTCCGCCTAGGTTTGTCGGGACCCATGAGCAGTAAAATCTGGGATCGAGTTAGGAGTGGATGAAGAGGGAAAGGGCGGGTTAATGTGCCCATGAGTGGAGAAGTAGTAGTAAGGGGAGGGGAAAAAAGGGGGGGGGGGGGAGATGTTGCATAGGGAGTGTTTTTTTTTTCTTTGGCTGGTACTACGCTACGGTACCTTTGAAGTTATGTACGTTGGTGATTTGTAGAAATGTTTTCATCTGAAGATAGAAGAAAGAGTGATGCTCGAAAAGAAAACGAATTTCTTCACGAATTTGATATTTGCCAATGAATGAGATAATAGCCTTGAATTGAACAAGTGGAAAGCATCATACTCTTGCACAAAAGCTAGAAAAAGAGAGAGAGAGAGAGAGATCTAAGCAACACGATGACATCAAAAGGTCAGACATGGATGAGTGTATTTGATCTTGATATCTTTGTTTTATATTGATTTGTTCGCCAGAGCGACTGATACTGCGATGCCCCTTTCCACCAAGATGGCATGTTATGCTATACCGGAAGAAAAACCTTCAAAAGAATCTGCAACAGAAAAAAAAAACGCCGTTTTCCAGGTCATGTCGGGGGTATATACCTCACGAGAAACGGAATGAGCAAAAAGAAAAACCAACAACAGTAAGAAACCCCACTCGCAAATGGTCATACACGTCGTTATAGAACCACAAGGCCCCACATCTATCCAAAAACTCATGGAGAGAGAGGATGGCAACTCCAACAGCAAACGCCTACTAGATTGATTCAAGCCATGTTGGTCAATTAGACATTGGACCTGAAGGGCTCGTAAGCGGTACCGCCCATCTGGGGAGTCTGCTTCTGGCTGCTAGGCCACTTCTGCATCTGGTGACCCTGTTGGCCGCCAAAAGCGGGGCTGGCAACACGCTCGTAAGTGTAAGGGGTCTTCTCAACAGTCATCTTCTTGCTATCGCTCTTTCCGCTGCAGCAGCAGGTGCTGATGAGCCAGAAGAAGCCAGAGGCAATGGAGAAGGCGACACCGAGCCACAAGGTAGAGATCATGCGGGAGCCCATGTTGACGTCAATGTTGTAGGGGTCAAGAGCGGTCCTGAAGACACCAGTCAGGGTGCCGTAGGTTGCAGATGCAGTAATTGCGGCGGCAACAGCGAAGATGGTTTGGGCCTGGAGCAGATGGGTTAGCAAGGCTGGCTTGTGGCAAGTACAATGATCTGAAGAGAGAACTTACGGTAGAGATGACGGTAGTGACGAGGCTGCCCCACCTGGAGAAGATGGCAAAGAAGCCAACGAGGAATTCCATGGGGGTCAAGACAATGACAATGACAAAGGCCCAGTTCATCCAACCAGCAACTTTCTTGTAGACATTCATTCCGTCATCGTACTTGTCGCCCAGGGCCTCCTGCAGAGCAGTACCGTTCATGCCCCAGACCTTGAGAGGGTCAAAGTGGAACTTGAACTTGCGAGCAGAGCAGTATGTAATCTTTTCCTCGCCAGTCTCCTTGTTGGTTTCGCCCTCGCAGTATGAGAAGAGGCCGACCTGGTAAAAGTCCTTGAGCTCCTTGGAGTCGGCCTTGCCACGGAGAGCATCGAGGAAATCGTTGTTGGGGGTGAGACCTTCAGGAAGTTTGTCGAGAATGGTTTGTGAGTCGAGCGTCATATTTGACGTATCAGCCTGTTGGCGGGGTCAGAATGCGTGCTTTGACAAGAGGGAGACTGCGGGGTATAGAAAGAACATACCTTCATGAAGTAGAGCTCGCGGCCAAGGGCTGTAGCTGGTGCGTTGTTGCCCTTCCATGGCGTTTGGCCGAGCATGACAATGACAAAGCATACTAAAGATGCGAGAGTGAGAGCCAGAGGCGTGATGATACACGCAAAACGGCCGGCTTTACCCATGTTTTGTGGTGGTGGTGGTGGTGGGTGGAAAAAGAAAAAGTGGGCTTGCTGTAGGTGTGGGTTGAGGGTTATTGTTGTAGTAGTTGTAGTAGTAGTAGAATTGCGGGATACCAAGCAAGGGCTGGCTGATGTCACACAGCGGGCGCACGGGCTATCGACCGGGTAACGACTGTGGCTACGGGTGTTACAGGTGCAGGTGGAAAGGGTGAAGGGCAGATGAGTGAATGCAGACGAGGTGGATGTCGAGAGTATGCAGGTGTGTAGCGAGTGGGATGAAGCAAAATGGGCGCTGGACTACTAGCCTTTTGAACCAGCAGTCGCAGGCAAAAGACCAAGGCCGCAGCTGAAATGCGCAGGGCGGAGGAGGGCAGCCGAGGGGGGCTGAGGGTGAGTGGGCAGGCAGCTTGGTGGGGGGCGTGCCAGCTGTTGGCCTGTGTGGTCGAACGGCGTCCAAGTGGCGGGGCCCTGGGAACGGGCGGTGGTTTGCTTAGTCCTTCACCAGCCTCACTGAGCTTGCGACAGCTGTGGGTTCATCCACCGCTGACAAAGGCACTGCAGCTGTCGACGCGCGGGAAATGTTGTCTAACAAACGCTCTGTGCAGTGAGAAGACGACGACGACGAACCACTCTCTATACGCTTGCTGGTCCTGTCCACGCATACACATGCTTAACTCATCGCGGCTCTTGGCCCCATAACGCATTGTGGCTGGGCTCACCCGACGGCTGTAGAAAACACTCTATCGTCAGCGCATGAGTAGAAAATGCACACCTATGCACTCAAGTGATACCAAGATACCAAGTGGTCCACGCCTAAAACCCCCGTCATGACTAACGAGGGCCAAGTCCTCAAACACAGTTTCAGACCCTCTACTATACCCTCTCTCTCTCCACTCTCCACTCTCCAACTCCCAAGGCCGCCACACCTCCCTCGGCCCTACCCTCACCCGCGCTACGCACCCATACATGCAACACCGCCTCGAGCCCTCTCTCTCTCTCTCTGCCAAGCACTCTTCCCACACTTCGGCGCTTCTTCGCGAACTACTCTGCCTTTCCTCTTGATTGACCTCCACGCGGCCACACACTCGTCCTTTTCTCTGCCAATCTCCCCTGCTAGTTGCCCAAAAGCCAAGTCTCCAGCAAAAAAAAAGACGCACAGCCATGGCAGAGCCTCCCCCATCCTTCCCTCCGTCACCGCCACATTCCTACACACACACATACACACACACACATACACACACGGACGCTGACATCTAACCGCGCCCCCCCCTCCCCAATCCCCCCCTCAAAATCTCACACAGAACTAGGCCTGATTAGGTATATGTCGTGCCCTCATACCTATTTTTAGACAAGAGCCATGTAAGCCTGTCTGTCTGTCTGTCCACCCTTCTTTTTTTCTTCCCTTTCCCTTCTTCCAGCTTTGCCCCCTCTTCACCTGCCGCTCTTCAGCCGTCCGTCCCCCTCTGTGACTGGATCCGAAGCTGGAGAAGGAAAAAAAGAACGGCCGCTGATCTTACATGACTCGCATCCTTTCGCTGTCGTGCATGAGGGTCCCCCCATCCCATCCCATCACCGCCCACACTTTAACTATAAGGTATAGTTAATAATTCCGTATTATTATGACCCTTTTCGCTCGGCGCTCGTGAAACATCTAGTTATGCTTTTCCTTGTAGTAGTAGTACACCTTCTCTATTTTTCTTTTTCTTCTTTGTTCCCCTGGCCCAATAGCCATCAATATCTCATGTAGTGTTAGAGTAGATAGACACTATTTGCTGCCCTTTTGTCATCGTGTGCCCCTAGGCCTGACCGCCTGCGTGCCACCACCCCCAACGCGCGTCCCTTGCAAATCTTTCACTCACACCTCGACATAGACACGTCGTCGAGATAATCACGGGCATGTGCTTCGCAGCTATTGCAGATACATGACCAATGTTGGTCCTTGATTTCCTATCTGGCCTGCTGCCCACTAATCCTGCAGTCTGCCCTGCGTATGGGGCGCTACGGACGCGCGTCAACCCCTCCTCCTGCTCACCACCCTACTGCTGCTGCGGATCCCCACACCTCCCGTCTGTACAACTCATCCATCTCACCTGCCTGCTAGCATCCAGTCCAAAATGCCCGCAAACGTGAATCCCATACATCATGCGTACAAAGCCCAGAAATGCTCGTGACATACGAAATAAAACATAAGAAATCCGGTCGCAATTCGTGAAAAAAAAAATCCTGATGCCAAGTGGTATAAACAGTGTCGCAAGCAAAAGCCCCTTGCGCACACACAAACAAGTAGAAGTGAAGAATGCAACATTGCAATGCGCAAAGGAAAAAAAAGACGCCTTGGTCGCTAATACAACGCGACACAAGAGAGTGAGAGAGACAAAGAGAGATGACAGCGAAGGAGAAGAAGAAGAAGAATGATGATGATGGAGAAGGATAGAAGAAAAAACGACTAGGAAAACCTCAGTCGAGGTCCGGGTCAAGACATTAGAGTTTACCGCTTATGTCTCTCCTGTAAACTTGCTCCTGAACGCCAGCGCAAATGAATCCAAATCGACATGAATCCCAGATTCTATATTTTACACGCCGGAGCTTCTTCCGCATAGCGAATGTCGCGGGTATCATTTCGGAAGAGAACCGGCTTACATCGCACCGTCTGCATGCCTGCTCATGAAAAGGGCACCAAGCGAATCTCACCTGGTACCAATGCCCTGGCTCTGGCTAGTCATGTAGACAACAGTGCGACGAACAAGTTACCGGCTATGGTAGTGAGTGTGGTGTGCGTGCTTTGGGCTTCTACCCACAGTCTCATCGTGGGTGTTGGTTTCGGGGGTCTTGCTGGTTTTGCTGTTGACCACCCTCGCCGCGGGCTCGTATCCATGCCGAGTTGCCGCTCATACGACCTTCTAGTGCCTTTTGAGCATCGGCATCTAGTCGGCGTGTTACTTGGCCGTTGATGATATCTTCGGGTCGTAGTTTGCACACGGCCTGTGCAATGGATGAGATGACACCGGCACGGAGCTCCTTGGCTTCGCGGATGTCTTCGCCCTGCAGGCGGAACTTGTCCTGTTTGGACATGTTGGCTCGTCGTGTTGCTCGGATCTCATCCATGATGTAGAGGAGAACTGCCTCTGGTGCGCGGTTGCGCTCGGCAGCATGCTTAGCGTCACGGACATATCGGCGGGTGACGTCCATGGCACCATCGGCCGAAAAGGCAATGCAGTAAGAGAGCTTCTTGCCCCAGCCTGGAAACAATGTTAGTTGGTGTGTCGTGTATGCATCTTGGAAAGAGACTGACCATCAGTGTATAGCCGGGGCTTATCCCATGCCTCTTCGCAGGCATCTACGTGGACCCATCGCTTGCGGTGCACAGAGTAGACTTCGGTCCAGACGTGGTCTTCGGCATTCCAGACCCAGCGTACTCTTGAGCCAACGGCGCGGCAGAGCATGCTGAAGCAGTTTGCCCATTCACCACATCGGCCTCTTCGGGTTTGGAGCAAGACAAAGGCGTCATTGTATCGGGGGAAACGCTCGTAGTTTCTGCAGTTGTCGTTGGAGCATCGGTAGGCCTCAACCTGGCTGGCGCCGCGGGCCTGTTCGTCGGGAAGTGGTGGTGTAATGCCCATGGCAACGGTGGGTGAGTAGCATCGCGAGCAGGGAGGGTTGTTGACCCATGAGAAGAAGGAACGCTTGAACCATCGCAGCAGTGCGCGGACGACGCAGTCTTGGTAGCCCCATGCTGCCTTCTTGCCAGCACCCATGCTCTCGGCCTCGGCCTGCAGGATCTGGCTTTCCTCTTCAGCCTCGTTGTAGATTTGCTCAAGCGGGATGACGCGAAGGGCCTCGTCGAGTAGTCCGGGGTTTTCCCATCGCACGGGCATGTTGGAGAGCGAGTGGAGCATGTTCTTGAAGCGGAGGGAGCGAGCATCACGTGGGGGTTCTGGGACGAGGGGGATGTTCTTGATAGACGAGTAGGCCGGTGGGGCTGCTTGCGAGGGCGGCGGCTGGGGGGATCCAAAGTCGCGGGGCGCTGGTGATGAGGAGCGGGATTGAGATGAGCGAGATGTGAGGTCGTTGATTCGCTTTGTGCTGAGGACGTGGCGGAACTGCTCAGTCAGTTCGGCGGCCAGCCTGTCCGTGTCCATGGCGTTGGTGGCAGCGCGAGGAGCGCGGGTGTTGTGATCCATTGTCGACGGGCGCGAGGAACAGTCGCAACGGCGGGGGTTGTTGTGATGATGGGGGTAGTGGAGTGTCGAGGGGAGGGTGGATGGCGTCGGGGGGGGAGGAGCTGTGTATAGCGTGGTGGACAGGCGCTGCAGGTTTGGCAGTGGATGCACAGCCCGATGATGCGGCGGCGCAGCAACGCGGACAGCCACTTGCAGATGTTGTATTCTGGGAAAAGGCTGCCGCTGCTGCTATCGACGGGCGCGAAGACGGCGATGGCTCTTCTGTGGAAGTGCAGGCAGCGGAGCAGCGCAGAAAGACACAGAGGCGGCGTCGGTAGAGTCGTGGTGTCGCTGCAGCGGACGCAGGTGGACGAGGGTAATTGATTGAGGGATGGGGCAAGACGACGACGACTCGCGCTTACCGCATGCGGGCGGGTTGACGCGGCCCTGTCGCGGCTTCCTCATGTCTAGAACCCACAACACCGACCAGCCGTGACCGTCACCTGCAACCACGCGCAGGCAGAAGAAGCGCCAGGCCGCGCCTCATCTGCCCGGCCCTTATTCATCCACTCACCCATGCACCCACTATCCATCCATCTAGTGTACGTCTCCTCCATCATCCATCCACCCCATACACACACACGTATACAATACATACGCATCATCCGTCCTGCCTGTCCTGCCCTGCGCCATCCGACGCCCACCGTCCACTGTCCTGGGCAACCGGGTACGCAGCGCCGCGCAGGGGGCGGTCCACGCCTCGCTAAGCGTGGCAGATTCGCACTACAGCTTGCGCAATCTTTGGTGAACCACTTTGGCTGCGTCGCAAGCACCACGGCCCTTCTCTCGTCACTTGTTTCGACCCCGTCGCCAAGCTGCCTCTGCACCAGAGACGCGCCACACAAGCTTTGCTGGCCAATATTGGTTGTCGCCGCTTTCGTCCCACACCCCGTGACCCAGCAACGCCTTCATCGCTGCTCCTTCACACACATTACGTGATGGCCGCCCCCATCAGATACCCACTCCTTGATCCGCTTGCCGCAAGCCCTGCACCACTCTCCACTCAGCCTCAACTTTCCCATGGTCACGCTTTTGTTCCCGCTCACCCTTTCTCATTGCCTGTCCCCTCGCAAAAAGTACTTACTGGGTACTTAATCTCCCCTGCCCTTCTAGAGTGTTTTCCCTGTTCACGCTATTACCGTCGCGGCACGCCTGAGTGGTCGAGACGTTCCTCTGTCGCTAGCCACGCGTCCGTCTGCCCGAAACTCCACCGCCGTTGAACATCAGCCTATGCAAAAGAATTCGCCGGTCTACCGCAAAAACGCCATGACCTTGTCGACGCACATTGTCCATTCCATCGTCCAGTTTTTGCACTTTCGCATCTTTTTTGCTCGCCTTTAGCGACGCTTCTTGCATCATCTACTAAACGCATGCGCAATGCTAAACCCATCGGTGGCGCAAATTCTTGGGATCGACTGCAGGTCATAACCCGATTACGACGTGCGCGCCTAAAGCCTTTACAGGCCTGTCATTGTGTTCCAAACACGAATCCCTATCTTCTGTTCCCAACGGGATCCGCACGCCCACCAACGCTGCTCTCCCTCATCTGCAAGGCTAAGCACGCATGTATGACTCGCACATCAACAGTTTACAATTTAGTAGGTCTACGTGAACATCCCTCGTCCGCCTACCCAACAACACACTGGATATGGACACTTACCTCCGTTAATTTCCTCGGGCCTCCAGTTATTACGGCTCGTATCAATCCTCTTGCGGAGCGGACATGATCATCCTTTTACCGTACCCAGAATTCCTGTACAGCTGTCAATGGGTCCCGCTTCACTATCGCCGCCCTTCACCGCACATTTTCTGTTCATCTTTACCGTCACCACGCACACAAAAAGAAAAAATCTTCATTTGTCTCCGGTCCATCCCGCACATGCGTGTGTGCCACACATGGTCCTTCTTGTCTTACGTTTGCTTGCCCACATATAATATGTCTAACCATCAGCACAACCGCTTGGCATTGTAGCGTATAGCGGTCAGCTCCCACTCCATCAGCATCGCTCGGGACGATGCAAGCGAACATCTCGATAAATCTCTTTCCATCATCCGATCAACCCATCCCGGCTGCAATTCGTACTGTGCTCAAAAAGTCACGTAGCACGACCGGGGAATGCTGACGTAGACCTGGCTCACTCACGGACCCCATCAGCCACGATCCCGGCGCAGTACCGACCAAAGTACCTACGTACCACCAATAGCCTCTGAAAGGGTAGTACGTATGTAAGTAAGTGTATACGAAGGCTCTCAGCGAGACCTGCCTTACGTGCATACGAAGCCTGCCATGAGCCAAGCATTTGCTTGATGAACCATGATTAACCGCTTGCGGTTTCCGCCCGCACGACACCAGGGGTTCATTATTTCTTGAGTCTCCCTCCGAACATGTGATGTGGCTTGCGATGAACTACTCTTGGACCTGGACATGACTTGAAGTAGCTTATGTCATGTAGGGTCGGGATTGCTGTTGCATGTCACGAGACAACATGTCAAACTTCGTTACATTTGCTAATCCAACCTTTTTACACCATGACACCTCTTAACCTTGCACAAGGATATAGGGAAACCCCCCCCCCCCCCACTCACCCGCTCAAACCTCTAGTAGTATTGAAATCAGCCAAAGTGGAAAGCAGAAGAAAAAAATCCTGTTTTTGGCACCTAAGGGGGGCAGGCTCACACAGCCCGATGCAGAAGCAGCCCAAGCCGTGTCCGAATTCTGATCTGAAACGTCGTCTACAGCGACATCCCCTGTCGATGATCACTCAAAGTGTTACTGTGGGAAAACTAGGACTGGAGTCATGGGAACCCGTTCTGCGGGGTCGAGGGGAGGGACGGGTTGTCCCAAATGACGATGTGCACGGCACAGCTTGGTATATAATGCCCCCCCTTTTTTTTCTTGCAGTTGAACGACAAACTATTCATTTGTCTCTCTTAAGAACAAGGTATATATATGACACCGTGCTTGAATCTACTATGATCATGATGCTCGTTACAAAAGTAGCCCAGACGCCCATTGTGTGCTATATAGAAGAAGAGAAATTAAGGAAAAAAAAAGTCGTGACGTTACATTCCTGCCTTGATAACCAAAACGCTGGCTCCAAGCTTGCCTTCCCATACCCGTTCAGCCAGCATACCCAATGTCTGCGCTGTGCCAGTGCTACTTCGGATCTCATCCGTGTTGCCTGAGCGTTCCAGTACACCGTTGAGTGATACGTTGCGACCCAGGACAATCAAGTCTCCGGCGTTCCTTGGCGACTGGTTAATTTCGATACTCGCGCGGGCAATAACGTCGTTAACAGGGGCGGTTGAGGTGACAGTCTCGAAAACAACGCGGTTGGTGAGATCAGCGGGAAGCGAGGCGCGGAGCGAAGCGAAGAAGGCGGCGTCCTGCTCGCGTGATGGCGGGGGAGAGATGTTGCTGGATAGAGCTGCCCAGGCCGAGTCGGAGAGATCAAAGTGAACAACTGTAGCGGTGACTTGCGGGTTCCGGGCTAGCTGCAATACCAGACGCAAAGCAGTCTTGTCGTCGTTGCCGCCAAAGAAGGGGAAAAACACGTGGTGGCTCTTGTCAGTAATGGGTGCTGTCACAGTCTTTTCCCGTGCGCTGCCCAGACTGACGCTGCTGATTGTACGGTTGAGTCTGAGCCGCTGCTGCTTGTGCTCCTTGTTCTTGCTGCCGCCAAAGTTCTTGTTGATGAGCACGGCAACGGGGATACTTGCGTTCTCCAGTGTCTCATGTACAAAAGCGTTGTAACTGGATGCCTCGAGTTTGTTCTTTGTTCCCTTGTCTTCGATGATGGCCTGTTCAGACATACCGCCCGTCTCACTCCATGGCATGATAAGAAATTGTGAGTCCGAGGCGCGTGTTGCTAGTGTTTCGGCAAATGACGATTCTGGCACAACGAGCACCTCACCACTGACAGCGAGGTTGTGAAGGCGTCCAAAGGTGCGGAATGTGTTGACGACCGGATCGTAAGCAGTGTAGGATTCCAATTCGGAGACTTGCATGACGGACGAACCACGATCAGTCAGGCTGAGAAGGCGTAGACCGTAGGCTTCAACGGGACGGTTTGGTAGTGTCACTTCTGTTAGGCTCGTCTCACCGACCTCCTTGCCTAGGCTGGTGCTAGTGCTAGTGGTTGTGTCTTTTGACGGGTGTGTCTTTGGTGCTGGGATCTCGTTTCCGCCGAACAGGGAGGTGAAGGCCAGGAGATTGGGCATGCTGTCCAGGCGGAGGTAGACGGTCAATTTCTCAATCTTCTCCGCAGCCATCTTCTCGTATTCCACAATGTCGCTGCTGCCTTCAGAATCAATGGGCTTACCAGTGTCCCAGTCGATTTCACCCCGGCGCCATGCTTCGACCTTTTTCTGGTACCATGGAGGGTAAAACAACATTGCCAATGGCGACGAGGCAAAGGTGGTAACGAGAGCCATGACGACGAAGATGGTAAAGGTTCGAGTGCTGAGAATCTTAGCGTTGAGACCAATGTTCTGTGATCGTTAGTGCTCCATCATGAACAATCACCAGAATGTCAATCTTACCAAGACGATGAGTTCGACGAGACCCTTGCAACTCATCAAGGAACCCACAGCAAAGCACTCTCGCCACAACATCTTGCTGCCCCTTGCCGCGAGCGTAGCGCTAATGAACTTGGAAAAGAACGCGACGGCCACGACTCCAATAACATAGGCCCACACAATACCGGAATTCAAGAGACCAATGTTGGTGTTCAGTCCCGAGAGAGTGAAGTACAAGGGCAGAAACAGTGCACCAATCAAATCTTCAATCTTCTCGGCGACCTTGATGGCAAAACCACCTTCGTGAGGGCAAATCAAACCAGCCATGAAGGCTCCGAAAATGGGATGGACACCAATGATACCGGTAAAGAAGGCCGATCCAAGGGCAATGAGGAGAGTGAGACTAATAATTCCTTGACTGGGTCCATCTTGAAGCGCACGAGATCGACGCAGGACGTAGATGAAGGCTGGTCGAACAGCGTAGACGAGGAAGACCATGTATCCCGCACACGTGAGCAGAACCCAGAGCGCTGTTAGTCCTGAACCGGCATTGACGAGTGCAACACAGAGAGCGAGTAGAATCCATCCTAGAAAACGAATCAGCCTTAGTACTACAAATGTGAGGCGCTTTAGCTTGTGAAATACTCACCAACAACGTCGTTACCGACACCGGCCGACAAAACAATAATACCAACTGGCGTCATGAGCAATTTCAGTTCAGTAAGAATACGGCAAAGCACGGGGAAAGCCTTTTCACAAAGTCAGCAACAGACCAAGTCACGGTACTAGGTAGACTTACCGTAATCGCCATGGCGACACCAATAAACAGCATGTAGATTGAAAAGTCAATCTCCACAGTGTTAGGGTCTCCCTTGAACTCGTTGTACAATCCGACGGCAATAGCAGCTCCCATTCCAAATGGTATAGCCATACTTGCTAAACCGACACTGAGCGCAGGTTTCCAGTTGCTGAGTAAATGCCTGAGGTCAACTTCAAGTCCAATGATGAAGAGAAACAAGGTTAGACCGAGATTTGCGGCCAGATTGAGGTTGACCATGGATTCTTTTGGGAAAATGGACTCCTGGAAGCCGGGAATGCGGCCCATGACTGAGGGACCAAGGACGATGCCACCAATGATTTCGGCAATGACGCGTGGTTGGCGGATTTTGGAGAGTGGGTAGTTGATAAGATGGCACATAATGATAATGATACCGGCCTGATATGGGTTAGCATTTTGATCTTGATTCTCGTTTAGATTTGGATGAACTGGTCGAAACAAGGCCAGAGAGGAGGCAATTGCTTGAACTCGCATATCAAGCTCTTTCAATCCTTACCTGAACAATGAACAAGATGATAGGATGAGCCGCATCAAAATGTACGGGATTCATTCCCTCAAGAATACCAGCCTGCGGCGGCGCCTTGGGACGCGCCGTGGCGGTGGCATTCGCCGCTGCCATTGTAGAAGACATGTTTCTGCCTAGTAGCTTCGAGGTGGTACGCTGACGGTACTACTCCAGGTTCTGGGAAAGTCAACCCCGCAAAAAGAAATGGGGGCAGACAACAACCCTCAAACGCTAATTAAACGTTCTCGAGAAAGAAAGAAAAAAGTAAGAACCTCAAGGCTACCCTCGAGAGGCACAAAGAGCAAACGGCTGGTTAAATGCAAGGGTGATGTGGGCTCGAGCGCCATTAAGAATGATGGCGAAGTGAGAGGCAGGGTGGAAAAAGCCCAGACCCGGTTCAGCCCCCAAGGATCTAGGCGGTTGTCTGAGCGTTTCTTTCTCTGGGGTTCCAACTACAACAGTGCGCATGCTGCACATCACGAACCTCACTCGAGGCGCCGCAGCCGGGTAATGCAAGCGCCAAGGGTCGGGCTTGAGCCGCGGGGGGAGCCAGCAAGCGGACATGGGGACATGTGCAAGTCGAGCGGGAGGTATCAATTGCCCATGCGCACCAAAGCCACTGGGGACGCCATGCTCTGTTCTACTTGCCCCCCGCCAACTCGCTTGGCGAAGGCTGGCATGTGAGAGGCCCGCGTGCATCACGCCGTACAGGGGAGCTATTGGCAATGAGCCTTCACCGCTCGCACATGAGCTGAATTGTAGGTCGATGGGCATAAGCCGTGGCGTGCTGGTCCATGTGTTGCGGTGCGTCAACGTATCGCGGGCTGGCGGAGTCCCAATGGGGTGGATGGAGGATGGGTGATGGGTGATGGGTGGCGGGCAGGCGATCGACAGGGAAGAGAAGCTTGGGCCCAAACGGCTCACCAACATGCCCGCTACAAGCTACCACACACGTTGCCGCGCCAAGAGATACTGAGCGGGCCTATTTCGACGACGGGTGCTCAGGTGATGTCCAGGTCGTGATAACATGGCTGCGGCATTTACACGGGCGTGGCTGGATGGATGGAGACATGTGGAGGACCAAGGACAAGGTTTGTGCTGCGAAAATGGTGCTGGTGCTGGCGCTGTAGGATCAGGCTGCGCCAAGCGAGCATGCCATCTCGTCGAGTCTTGAGGTTGACTTCCTCGCCGCACAATTGCGGCTTCAATGCCCAGCTTATGTGGATGCCTTTGTACGGGGCTAATGTCCAGCTACGTCATTGCCCAGTTGATCGGATTGCGGGTGAGGTCAAGAGCAAGGAAGCTATCGGCCCGCCAGCCTACCTCCATGCAAATGATATCGACACACTTGTCTATACCCCCCGACCACCGCAAGAACCTCCTGAGGTCAGCTTGACAACCACCCCATGCACATGCATTCGAAGAGCAGATAAACCCCAGCATCTCCTCATGTCTGCCGAGCCCAAGAGACAGCATTTCGAGCATCACACATGGATCCATAACATCGACCATTGCCATTGGAGCATTGTTTAATTCTACGACTCGTGGACCCGACGTCCTGGTATCTAGCATCCAATCCTCTTGTCGCTAACAACAATGTCATCATACCAGAATGTGTTGGTATCACCACCGTAGCTCTCCCATCCAAAGTACACCTACGCCCGATCGTCAGCAAAAAACGTTCCTCCTTCAAAATAGACTTTGACCAACTCACCCCGGTAATCTTAGGCTTGATCGTACTCCTGGACCATTGCGCTCCATTGGGGTTCGACGCTCCATTACCCACGTTCAACCCAGAAACAGTGCTGTTGTTCAACCATGTCTCGATGCTGCCGTCGGTACCGAGGTGGTACTCGAAGCATGTCCATTGGTTCGTGGGCAGCGGCTTGGACGATGCAATACCGTTTGGCGACAGATCAGGTAGAGTGGCATCATCGGTCTCGCGGTTGTACATGAGAATCTTAGATTGTCCGCCAATGCGCAGGTGCTTGTTTGTGCCTTGGGCTGAGTCTGGCATTGTGATGAATGTCACGTGAGAGTCGGTCAAGGCCTTGCTTGCTTTCCTACATACAAGAGTTAGCATCTGAACTTGAAAGAGAAGAGAAAAGCAAAAGTCAAATATACTTACAAGTAGGTCCTGACGTAGACATCTCCCGATGGAATCTTCTTGGTGCCGACAAAGATGTGGCCGCAGTAGCCTCCCGCACCATCGACACGGATCGAGTTCTTGCCAGTATGGGCGGTTGTCGTATCCAGGCTGACTTTACCACCTTGGTTGCAGTCTGCCGCATACGAGGGCCATGCAGTCTGGTCCCATCCGTTCTCAAAACCCTCGCTCACTTGGGCAATCGCTGGCGCCGCGAGGGCGAGAGCAAACAGGGCGGTTTGGCGAAGCATTGTTGTTTTCTGTGGTGGAGGGTTGGCGTTGATGTGACTGCAAGACTGTGGTGAGGTCAGAGATGCAGCCAGACGGGGTAGTTATATATGCTTCTTGGAAGCATACTCCTAAGCTTTGCCTTCCGTAGCCAAAATGGCATGGTCGGATGCTTATTCCGTGCTTGTTTCCATGATATTAATTTGACTCGACGGTCCAGCGTTTCCGCTTTGTTAGAGTGTCGGTGTATGCTGCTCTGCATTGGGTTTGCGCTCGGGACGTTGTCCCATTTAGATTACATGCAAATTTAGCTTAGCACCTGTGTATATTAACCGCACAGCTTATGGGGAAACCCATCGGCACCACTCTCCTTAGAGATTGATTCTTGCCGCCGAATACATATTGTAGCCAATCCGTGCTTGACAGATCTTCACAGTAGTAATTGATTAGGCCCGTCACACCCGTCATGCCCGTCACCGTTGTCAGACATACTTTTAAATCCTCTCGATTCAATAACAGCCCGTAGGCCAGGTTCTAAAATAACAATCAAGCAACCCGCAATGCAGTCAAGCCATCGCTACAAAAGCCCAAGAAAAAACGGCCGATGTGAGCCGCTGAGAATAAAAGTCGCCGCTAAGCGCAGCGATGAGACAATAACAGACTGATTTTTCTAACCAAAACAGTAAATGACAAGGGAAAAGTGAGAGTATGTATGCATATCCACCAAAGGCGTATTACATGGTGTACGGGACCAGCCTTTTAGGGAAAAAAAGACTACTGATGAAGGAGAGGGTGGATATGGGTATAATAATCATAGTATGCGCCGGGGTGCAGCAAATTGCACTTCGTCTTCTTATTTGGTGTTGGTAGACTTATTGACTTGTGTGACCACGACAGCAATAACGACGATGATGATGATAATGATGAGCGCGATGAGGACGCACCACCACTTCTTGCGGTTGCGGGCGCGGGCCTTGTCGATGGCACCGTCAATCTCGACATTGGCGGCCTTGACGTTATCATTGATCTCTTCGCCCTTTTGTTCGATGTTGGCGACGAGCGGTTCTTGCTCCTGGACAATTTGGTCGAGGTCTTGGAACAGCTGGGCGAGCTCAACCATTTGACGTTCTATGTTTTGAATGGCCTCGTGTCGCTCCTTGACGTTGCGCAGAGTAGACGAGGCTTGGCCACGGCGGTCGGAGTTCATAAGCTGGGAAACGTCAGTATTGGGTGACAGGCAGGGGAGGTAGAGAAACATACAGCCTGTTGGAAGATGGGCGCATCAGGGTCTGAAACGGCCTCGCGAACCTCTTCCTCGGTGGCATCTGGGCGCACGATGCGGTACTGGCGCTCAGCAGCCGCCTGTGATTCCCTTCGGAAGTCTGACTCGAGAGTCTGATACCTGTTGATGGTGGCCTTGAGCCTGCGGTCGACCTTGCCAACTTGAGGGGCGTTCCTGGGGTGACCTGAATCGGGTTTCGACTTGATGTTTTTGACGCGAGTGACAAGTGCGCGGTAGCCCGTCATGATTTGAGAGCTAAGGTTGTTGATCTCGCCAGAGGGCATATCTGGGCGGGCCAGCGATTGTCTGAAGACGCGGTCGAGGTTGTTGAGCTGGGCATCGAGGTCGTCGAGCGCGCGGTCGACTTCACGGCACTCATTGAGAATGGCGTTGGGGTCGGCACCAGCACCAGGGTAGGATTGCATCTCTACATCGCCTGTGTGACATTAGACGAGAGTGTCATGGACACGATTCAGCGATACATACGGTCGTAGTTGTCGTAGCCGGCACTCTGGTCGCGCGCATCGTAGGGGTTGCCTCCAGCGGAGCCAATCTGGCCGTAGCCTCTGTTTCCGTACTGTTGGTCGGCAGCAGCCATGGTCAGTAAAGAAAATTTGGTGTTTAGAGTTTGGGCGGAGTGAGGAGTATTGCAGAAGAGAGTGAGATGGAGCGCACGGTATGGGTAGAGCTAGAGGGAACTTACGCTCATTCTGAAACGGGACGGGTGTGGTGTGGGTGGACGTGGGAACCTCCTGAGACGGCCAAGTGCAGACGCGCAAAGCAAAGCTCACACGGCAGTGGGACGGGCTGGTGGCTAAGAGGGGACGGCGGGAAATGTCAAACGCGCGTAGGCTCGAATCAGTCGTCGACAAAGGCTTGAGGCAGAAGATAAATGCGTTTCAGGGCCGCGAATGTTTTCTGGGGCTGAGCGTGAAGGGTGGATAGGGCAGATGCAGGAGGCGCTCGCGCTAACGGCTTTGGGCCAGGCGTTCCACTAGTCAGCTGCGAATTGGCGGCGCCTCTCTGACGGTTGGCCCGCCTCGTCCCTCTAAAATTGGCTTGTGCTGCAGCTCACCGCACATGTGTCGCCTAACTGGCCTTTTACTAACTTCGTCTCTCCAACAACCGCAGTCTCCACATATTACACATCTCTTGCTCAATATATCTAGACAGTACACACTACATATCTACACACACGACCAGCTTGACCTCTCGCCACCTCGCTCCACCCCGCCACTGCTGTCGACCTGGATAGAGCCAAGAGCTTACGCAGCCGTGGCTGGCCTCGTATGCCTATTCAGGGTCTACTCCACGTACTAGCAGACTCAGCCTTGCGCCCGCAGCTCAGCTTGCCACTATGTACGTACACATGTACATACATATATACGCTACCTTTCCGTGTCATGACTACTGCAGCCTAGCACTCAAAGCACCCTCTACCGCCTGTTGGCACATACGACGGATTATGTAGGCGTGCGGCAGACATTCCAACTAGGTGTGTCATGGGTATACTTACACATTTTGATGCTATCCCAGAATTCACTAGTCTGGATTTATAAGCGGCTCACTACCAAAAGTACGCTTACTTTCAACTCGTCTTTTTTGGGTAGTCTGGAATGGACCGCCAATGCTCTAAAAGACATAAAGCCATACAACTATTCCTGGACTCCATAGGCGAATTATCCACACCGCTTGGCTTAGTAAAGACGCCTTCACTAGTTGCAAATAGGCTCCTGCCCAGAACAAAGGACATTTTACACATTGGCCAATCAGAACCTGCGACAATTCCGTACCACAGTAGAAAATTAAACAACTGGATTGATTAACTCCATTGACACTAGCACCCCAGTGTTTATACTCTTCCACTGTTGCACTGAACTTGGGAACAATCTAGAACAAATGCTTTCGTGGAATTAATATCCATTTTGTGGCAACCCATGTTTGACCAGAGTTGAGAAATGCGCTTATGGCGGGCATTGGGGCCAATTTGTCCAAATCAACCTGAGGGCACATAATTACAATATTGTTTCCACATCTAAATATCAAACCAATATCCGAAATAGTGGGATAATTTAACAGATATGCCCAGAATCTTTCTAATCATTCAATGATACATAAGAGTCTACATGTTGATGTTGATATCATAGCAAAGTGTACGACAAAACAAACCCGCATCCATCTCTTTCCTAAAACGCACATCCACAGCTTACGTCATAGCTACCAGTTTAGTCAGATACACAAAAAGAACTGCCAAAAACAAAAAGCGTCCATGCATGATGTCATTCATACGTCTTCTCATCCCAACTAGTCTAAGTACGTAGACACTGTATGTGCCCTTAGCTCGGATCCGTTCACCCTAGAACCAAAGAACAACAATAGTCGCCAAGTCCACAACTATGAACGCCGCTGCCAATACTGTCGCAGCCAGCCCAAATCCCAGACGATCAAACATATATGGTGCAAAAAGCGAAAAAAAAGAGCCGCTGCGCAACTTCGCGTAAGACGAGCCGTTGACAAAGCCGAAGCAGAATACTTGTCATATGTATCAATCAGAAAGAGCGAAACGCAACTAGCGCAAAACATAGCATCAAGTGGTAAAAATAAAGCACCCAACATTCGGCATGATCCAGTGCATCTTCGCCTGGCCCAACCATCCCTACCAGACCAGCCCAACAGGCACAAGAAAGCGTGCCTACAATCATAGCCGGAACACGAAATTCAGGGTTCCCTACACCACCGTTGCGAGCTTTGAGTTTGGCGTAGATCTAATCGTTGAGGTGCCCCGCGGCGTTGACACCAACTACCTAGCCCATTGCAGCAAAAATATAGTTTAGACTCCCGATTTGGATGCTTTGGTGATATAGCTTGTCCCACATGAGAGTGTACGTGTAGAGGAAGAGGAACATGGTGCCGTATAAGAGGCACATGTAGGTCGCCAGAAGCTGGACGATAGGTTGCGTGGCGAGCATGCGAAACGGTTCTTGGAGGTCATCTCTCATGAGGTGCAAGAAAGCGGTGCTCTTTTCCGTGGTCACAGGCTGTTGCTGTTGCTGTTGCTGGTGCTGAGATCTTTTAGCAAAAAAGCCCTACGTATCTTTAACTCATACGTCTCTTTAAAAAAAATGGCAAAGCTACAACCATCCCCACACCCGTAGCTGGGTTTCTAGGAGAATAAGCATGGTTTCGGTAAGTGCTTGGAGGAAGAAGAAGAAGGAAGAGAGTACAAGTGTTGCAGTTGATTTGCGGGCTTGAGCTCGAGGCTAGTTTCTTGGGCTTTTAGTGAGGTGGTGACAGGTCCTTTGTTTGGAATGGTGAGTAAATTTGGATTACAAAGAGTAGGGGAAAGTTGTTCAGACGTAGTTGCTCGGTGTGAGAGACGACTTGGGTTGTTAGATCAATGCGGTGGGCTGGGGATTTGTTTGACTAGATAACGTTTTTCTGAGGCTACAGTCTGTGATATTGATATTGCTACGGATATGACGCTGATGTCTGCCTCTGGACCCATGTTTGTGATGTGTTTCGTTGTGATTGATTATTATGTAGGAAAGTAGGAATTGAATAAAGGATGTAATTTACTTTCGACTCAACGACTTGTACGTACATGACATGAGCATGAACTCCTATAGATTCTGATACGAACCGAATGCCAACGGTTGTACACATGTAGCTAGTAGTGTCCTTTAGCCTTGACTGGTTGGCGAACCAGTCTGATAGTAGCCGTACTTTATCCTTCACGCCACACCCACTGTGCCTTGCCTTGATTTACCTTGCCATACCGCCGACATGGATTCATCTCAACCCCAGCGTCAAGCTTTTAAACGCATCTCAGGGCTTAGCTAATAAACTTAACAGATGAACGTTATGTTCCAAAGTGTATATTCTGGCACAAAAGCTAGTCCAAAGAAATTTCGTTTCATTCGGTTCTCATTATAGCAACAAAGCGAGTGACAACAACTAAGTTGAAGCTACAACCATGTTTCCGCCTTCCTTCTCCTAAGCAAAAATCAATCCACTCCCACTCATTCGTACGCCGCTTCATTCATAGGATCTCACATGATAGAGTTTTCATGAAGCATCCCCCGGCCCTTGGTGCCCATATAGCCCAAACAAGCTACTAGTTGCATGTGCATTCGCACTGGCGCTTCTTACAGTGACCACAAATGGAGCACTAATATTGTTAGTTGTCAAACCCAGGATTCCGCTTCCTTCATAATACCTTGACAGATGTGGCGCACTCATTAATCGCCCCAGTGAAATGCGTTTCCGGCATGCTAGCCATGGTGAGATAAAATCGTGTTGGATAGGTCGAAAGTTGAGAGAACGAGACTCGAGGTTGACTAAGGGTTGTGCAAATAGAATTTGAATAGAATAAACTTTGCTGAGTCTCACAACATTATATGTCCATGTCTACACCGGTCTTATGAGATGGCTCCTCGGATCTACCTACAGCCTTGATAGGCATTTAGTTGCCTACTGATGCAACTATGCAGCAGAGATAGAACTTTGTGCCCGAAACGGAACATAGGCCTATCTTTCGTATCCCACTTGCCAATAGACGTACTCTTACTATATCGGTTGCTGTTCAGCCTTGTGATTGTGTTGCCTAATGTATTGGGGGTGTAAGTGGTGTCTAGATGGTTGGTTGATCATGCAGGAAGGCTGAACTCCATATCCTACTAGGTAAATCCCTCTAGCGAATGCAAAACAAATATTAACGCCTGAATGTAGACCTTTGCGGTATCTCTTGCGAGCGTTTCACAAAACGTTAAGTCCGTGTGCGCCTAGCCAACTGTAATCTTTCCTCAAAGTCTTTCTCTATATCAACTAAGACTGGAGAGTGGCCAACACCCTAGTAACTTCCTCCGCGGGTCGACCACTTATATTTGCCAAACCACACAAGAAGACCGACTACCTTACCCAATACCGCTAGTTGTCTCTCTACTTTACACTCCCCCACCGCGTCCGCTCATCACCGCCAACCCATGATTTCTCTTGGTATCCAAGACGCTGCTTGACCTCATCCACCGTTGCCTGATCTCCCGTATTCTTACCAATATTATCACTAATCTTAACTGCATGACGGCCCTGCGCAGAGGCAATCTTGATAACAATATTCAAGGGTACAGACTTCTTCCCTGTGGATGTTTCGACAAAATCATCTGTTCTCGTCAGTCATCCGTCCAGCTTCCATGGCTCCTTTCATACGTACTCGTTAAGAATGTGCCTACGCCAAAGGTTGGCTGGAACCCTTGCTCCTCCGCTGCGGCCTTGTACTTGAAGCAAAGTTCGAGGTTGAGAGAGTCGGAAAAGACAATCGTCTTCTTGTCCTTGATACCCTCTTTGTCGTAAAATTCACGCATCAGCTTGATGAATTCTAGGGGATCGCCAGAATCTTGGCGCACGCCGTTGAAGACTTGAGCATATGTCTTCTCCGAGGCTGCATCTCCATCGTATGGTGCCTGGATAGGTGGGTTTGTCGAAGCCAAGGTTTCCACCGCATCGCTTGTGGTTGTGTTCCCTGATGATGGCAGTGTTGTACTGCCTCCAGGCACAGCCGTTGTAATGCGAGGAATGTGTGCCTTAAAGGCTCTCAGGAAC